AAATCATTCAATTGTTCTCGTTTGAAGATATTGGCGTCAGGAAACGTGTAAGAGACTGCAACAAAACAGATGTCAAGGGTATCTGCACTGCCCTCCGTCGTGGTCATAGGTAGGCAAGAAAGGCAATCAGAGTCCGAATGACGTCATCCACTTCTGTACAAAATGCTGAAGTCAAATTCTTGAAGGCAGAAAGCCCATCGAGCAAGGCGGCCAGAAGGGTCTCAGAGGGTAACAAGCCAACATAAGGAATGATGGTCTGTCGCAATCGTGAATGCACGACCGTAGAGGTAACATCGAAACTTCTGAATGGCAAATACAGCCGCTAAACATTCTTGCTCTGTCACCGTATAATTCATTTCAGCTTTGCTTAGAGATCGACTCGTATAAGCAACAACAGGCTCTGCATTATCATGGCGCTGAACAAGCACGCCTCCGATGCCATTTCCACTTGCGTCACTGTGCACTTCTGTAGGAGCAGAAGGATCGAAATGACGAAGAATAGGCTCAGATGTTAGTAGAAATTTCAGTTCAGAAAAGGCAGCATCACAATCAGGTGTCCATTCGAATGGGCTGTCTTTTCGCAACAAGGTCGTCAGTGGGTGTACTACGTGCGCGAATCGGGACACAAAGCGGCGAAAGTAGGAACATAGGCCCAAGAAGCTGCGAAGTTCCTTCAGTGTCTGGGGTGGTTTGAAGTTTGAATGTGCCAACTGCTTCGATTTTGCGGGGATCCGGCCTGACACCATCTTTGTCAACTAGGTGGCCGAGGACTAAAGCTTGTCGTTCACCAAACCAGCGCTTCTTTGAGTTCAAAATCAAACCAGCCTTTCCAACACAGTCTAAAATAAGGCTTCAACGAACGTTGTGCTCTTCGAAGATACGCCCAAAAATGACGACGTCATCCAGGTAGCATAAGCACACCTCCCATTTAAGACCACGAAGGACACAGTCTATAAACCTTTCAAAAGTGGCGGGGGCGTTGCAAAGCCCAAATGGCATCACATTGAATTGGTACAGCCCATCAGGCGTCACGAATGCGGTCTTCTCCTTGTCATAAGGGTGCATAGGTATCTGCCAATATCCTGATTGTAGGTCTATTGAAGAAAAGTACGAAGCCGAGTGTAAGCAGTCAATAACATCGTCAATTCTAGGCAGCGGATATACATCTTTTTTGGTCACGGCGTTGAGTCTTCTGTAATCAACGCGGAATCGCCAGGCACCATCTTTTTTCTTAACCAAGATGACCGGTGCTGCCCACGGGCTACATGACTCTTCAATAACACCCTTCTTCAGCATTTCCTGAACCTGGTCGGCAATAACTTTTCGTTCTGATGACGACACTCGGTAAGACTTTTGTCGGATCGGATGGGCAGTACTGGTGTCAATCCTGTGGTGAGTGGGAGAACATGGTAAAGGTAGTGGCCTCTCCTCTTGGCAAAAGTCAATTACAGAAGCATGTCGCCTCAACAGATGGCGTAATGTTTGCTGCTCGTGTGACCGCAAAGTGGCGCTAATCATGCCTAGGATCTGCGACTCGTAAGAGCTACTGCACTTGCCAGAGACTGTACCTTTCTCGCTTTCATCGTTGTTAACGACCGCTATAGAACCTTCAGTCGAATCATCGAAGACGCCAAGCTTCATTCCTCGAGGGAGCACAACCGCCTGCTTTCTCTCAGCTACGGGGTCTCCGAAGCACGCTCTTATTTCAGAGACGAAGCGATCCCATGACGTGAGGGCATCTTCGTGGTTCTCGTACCACACGAGTGCTGTGTCTGTTAAGAAAAATACTACATTGGTCAGCTGGGTCGCCGCATCCCACTGGTAGTATTTGCTCACCCGTTTGTAGTGTGTGAGCCAGGCATCCCCGTCCTCGCCACAGATTCGCCACCGAATGTGCGAGGCACTATCAGATCATGACGCCACCAGGGACCAGCCACACGCCAACCTGGTACTAGCGGTGCTGCTGGGACTGGTAGAAGGTCTGTAGCTGCGGGGATCCGGTTTCCTTTTTCGCCGTGAGACATCTCAGCTGCCAGTGGTAAGGGGGCCAGTCTAGCAAGGTGGCGGCTTCGTCGTATAGATCAGGCGCTCGAAGCGTTGTGTTGCTTGGTTGATTACCCAGCACCTCCCCCACAAAGCTGTTACGGTTGAGTTGAATTGATTTGATTGATATGTGGGGTTTAACGTCCCAAAACCACTATATGATTATGAGAGACGCCGTAGTGGAGGGCTCCGGAAATTTAGACCACCTGGGGTTCTTTAACGTGCACCCAAATCTGAGCACATGGGCCTACAACATTTCCGCCTCCATACGGTTGAGTTGAAGGATAGGTGGATTTATTTACAGGGTGAGGAAGAAGTTCAGCAGTCGCGGTAAAGATGGAGTCCGCAGGCCGCACCAGACAACGTCGTCTTCCTCTTCTACCTCCCCGGCACATACTACAGCCCGGCTCATACCGTAGCAATATATATGTGCGTGTATCTTCCAATAAATTTTAGTTGCCACTTCAGCGAGGTGTCGTCCCTTCCTTTGTCCTTGTCTATATTTGTGCGCTGTTTTTACTTCCCAAGTTGGGGTACTTCGACGCGAAAATTTTGGTCTGTCTGTCTGCACGTTTGTCGACGATACCCAAAACGATACCCAAAACGACCAACCACATCCGCAGAACCCACCAATATTGCTCAAGTATCAGTGTTTATGCTTGTGTGGTTGGTAATTGAAAAGCAATCATAGCGCATATTTGAGGTGTCATAACAACGCGTCAGTACTCTGTATGTGTGGCTTTACACTAGAGAAAGCATCATCAGTAATTTTAAGAACTATAGCGTTTATCACGCAGCGCTGGCAATGCAACGCTATGCACAAAAAGGCAAGTGTTTCCAACGCTTTGCTAAGACAACACATGGTGGTGGCACCTGCTCGTGCTTTGCGCTCTACATCTTATTGCCTCCGAGACAGGCGCGCACGCCTTTTTCGTTTTCGAAGATAACTGTCATATAGCGCTCGTGCCTAACGTGCCACGATGCCCTCGTTCGCCTTCGCTGCACAAATTGAGACACTAACGCAGCACCTCCAAAATACAAATCACCAATTTTGTCGCGAAGAACATCAAATAAACTTCTGCTCACTCTCTTCAGATGCAAGAATGTCATCTTTCGACGACAACACGAAGATACAGGGCCCTTTTTTTTTCTTCCGTGTCCTGGCTATGCGGAAAGTGCGGACGACGTCACCTGCCGCCACATTGGCGAGTGCGTGGAAGGTTGTGTAGATTCTGTCGGCCCTGACACATTTCCGCAAATAACTGCTGCGTTATTGGCTGCTCACGCACATACAAAAGGTTTCCAGGAACGCACGTTCACGTGTTTATGGTGCTGTTTTATGAGCAAGAGGGCATTCGGCATTGAATTGCGGCTTTCTGACGCAGAAGCTAAGCAATCGCACTTTACGCCGGTGTTACAACGATTGCCATGATTTTTTTTTCGATTTATGTCCCTACGATTTCAGCAAACGTTCCTAGGTTTACACTTGGTCACCTCGACGACATCCTGGACGCTAAAATGAACATGAAGTTGCTGTTACTGATGAATGAATGGCGCGAAGTGCAAAGCCAGAGAATGTGGAGCAGGTGAAGGCTTCATTACAGGTGCACCGTATACAATGTTCACACATGTGCTGTACATTCTCACCCCCATTTACCTATTGATGTCACTGAAGTGAGATCATCGATGCCGAATGTTCGCTGTGCGCACACCTCAGCTATATGAATTTTGGCTCTCCGACAGGGCACCTGGCACCTATGAGCGTTGAAGGCTTTTTTACAGGACATTTAACCACCTTTGAGGTTTTGCTAACATGACTCCTTGCTAATAAGAAACGCTCAAACTTTAAGCTTTGATGTATCTCACTAATGCTCATTCGCTTTACAGAAACTGTGTTATCAGTGAGGCTACAGGTGTTTGCATTGGGATGAGGGGGGGGGGGGGGGAGAGCGGCGCCCCCTGACTATTCGCGAACGAAAGAGCACTGAAAAACCTGCCCCGTGCATTGATTTAGTGAGGCGGGGGGGGGGTGGAGGCTGTGATGAACATTTGCTGACACCCCTGTCATGAAACCCTACGCATGCCTACGAACACAGTTAAACAGAATCAATGCACGTAAAAGCACAGCACTAAGTGTGTGCGCTCATGAACACTACTTACTTTGCCGTCAAACCGCACAATAATTGTATTCTGAGATTATATGTTTCTAAAAGCACGTGGCAGTGATTGCAGATTCCACTTCGGGATTCACTACCTGTCAAGGCATAACCTCTTTGCAGGGCGTACTTCACTCCACGCAAAGGATAGTAATCACTGGACATAGACGCAGCTCGTGAATGCACAATGGTATTTCCACAATGGTGGGTTTTATGAAAAGCAAGTCGAGGTTCATTTGCGTTGATTCAATAACGAGGTCGCACGCGTTATTCGCGTCAAATGAGACCCGAACCACGGCAAGCATTCGCAATGGTCCAGGGCACGCCGTCCAGTCATACCCATGGACAGGCGCGCATGCGCCATTCTGCAAAACTGCATGCGAACTTGTCAATGGTGATGGATGTATGGTGACTACTACACCATTATAAATGCATGTGGCTGTTGGGACCTCACATGAGGCCGATAGTACGCCTCCTTGCAGGAGCAAACAAAGAAACGTGCATGGGCTGTTCTGATAGCGTAGTGACATCGCAAACGGCGCGTGGACACATGCCAGCGCTCCAACACGGTGGTTTTAGAGACGTCAGTGCAAGCCATATTGAGCTTAGCTAAGGCAAGACTCCGAGATCACTTTCTTTTGGAGCATTTGGTGACGCTACAAACACATCCGCTTACACGAATTAGATAGAAGAGCACAAAACGCCCTTTGATTCCAAAACGAGAATCTAAAGGAGCTTCGCTGAGTGTACAGTGTCAGGGGAGCGTTATAGCTTTACAAAACTTCTGCATGGTCAGCGTACCAAATCGATGCTTGAGGAACTGCGACGATCCGCAGCAGCGTATCGTTCCTTCCGCAAGGATGGCGATTCGGTCACCGACTACGTCCGCCTCCTCCATGTCTTGCGTGGTCAGGAGCATTGTGCACGTTCGCCGCATCTTTTGCAGCAAGTCCCAAACCTCGTTGCGACTCTGGGGGTCCAGGCCAGAGGTCGGCTCGTCCAGAATGAGCACCTGGAGAACGTGAAATGATGTCTCGGCGAACAGGCTATTAAGCGAGGTAAGGACTACAAAGGTCCGATTAAGGCAGGTCTTAAAGCAAAATTTTAGGCAATAAATTCTTTTTAGCTCCCTTTTTAAGTCGCCTTCAAGCGACCTTGAGACAAATTAGCAGTGCTGTCATCCGGCTACTTCGAATGAAACATTGTGGCATCCAAAAGAGATCATGCGGGAACCGAGGTGAGAACATTCCGTCACATAAAACGGCACCATATAGATCTGGGCATCTAGTCAAATGTTTCATATATCGAGGTCTTTGAACAGGATCTCTTTTACAGCAACTTACTACTTATGCGAATTAATTAGCCCCGAAATACGCTTAAAATATTTCTGCCGAGTTCATAATGTTTGTTTTTGTTGGCATATCACTGAAGCCGTAACGTCTTCTACTCTGTTTTTTAACTTCCAATATTCAGTAGTGATATTGCAAAGGCAGATGAATGTATCACCCTGATACCGGATTACCCGCAAGTGATGGTGTCACCACACTGCATGATCACGCCACGCGTAGCGCGTTTGGTAAGGATTGGTGGGATGCTAATAAAAAGGTTAATTTCAGCTCAAAAATTATTGTTTTCCAGCCTCCATGACGTGGCGGGCTCATACGCTATAGGCAATTCAAAAAAATTGGCCCATATCCGCATGTTTCACTGCAAATGTCGTCGAAAGACGATAGTCTTGCTTGCGGAGTGTTGGGCACTTTAAATTTACCTAAAAGAACATAAAGTGTTAAGCCCTGCTTGCTGCACCGAAGTATCACAGGCTGCCAAATTGAAAAAAAAATATAAAACATTTTTTATAAAATAAAGAACAGATAAAAGAAAGGGATGACTACCACCAGGGCAACGACAGCCAAGGGAGTGGACTGGGAAATCAGAGAATTTATTTTGTATTTACCATAAACTAATTTACCTTCTATGTGTGTTTGTGGAGACAGTGAGCAAAACGTTTATTTGATGTGCTCCGCGACAAAATCGGTGAAATGTGTTCTGGAAGCACTGCGTTAGAGAGTCTCGATCCGTTCAGCGAAGGCGAACGAGCGCATCAAGGCACGTTAGACACGAGCGCCATCTGGCAGTTATCTTCGAAAACAAAGGAAGGCTTGAACGCCCGCAGAGAAAGATGCGCGCCTGTTGCGGAAGCGATAAGGAGTAGAACGCAAAGCAACGGGCAGGTGCCACAACCGTGTAGTCTTAGCAAAGCGTGAAACATTTGCCTTTTTGAGCATCGCGTTGCACTGTCAGCACAGCGTGATTAACGCTACGGTCCTTGGAATTTAATGACGTGTGCCTTCTCCAGTGTAAAAACACACATAAAAAGTATTGAAGTGTTCTTGTGGTGTCTGAGATATGCTCAATAATTTTTTTTTTCACTTGACAATCGCACAAGTATGAACGCTTAAACTTGAGCAATATTGGTGGGCGCTGCGGATGCATGGGGTTGGCCGTTTGGGGTATCGTTTGGTACGTTTAGAGAGACCGTTACCGCGGACAAACAGACAAATGTACAGACAGAAAGAAAGACAGACAGACCAAAATTTTGGCGTGAAAGGGCCCCAAGAAAAAATAGACAGATCCCACGTACCTGGGAATCGACGTTATGTGAAGCATGCGGAGGAAAGGTGACCATGTCATGAAACGACGCTAATTACATGTACAAATGTTGCACGCACAGACATATGTGGAAGAGTTGCAGATGTTTATATAACCAGTTGTTTGCACTTGCGCGACGATGTCCACTGGCACATGCGTATTAGCAACACCAGAAGCTGATATGAAGCGCTGATGCTCGTGAAGATGCTGGCTCTAAACAATGCTACGAAAATCAACTTCAGCGAATAGCATCTAACCACAATTGACATTAACACGACGTCATGACTGTATAAAAGGAGTAACTATGTAATGTTTATAAAATTGCGTAGGCAGCACTGCAACCACTATTAACGTTTCGCGAAGATTACGTCTATTTGAAAATCAGTTCCGAGGATTAGCGTAGCTCTGTGGTAGAATGCTTGACTGCCACGCAGAATTCTTAAGTTCGATTCGTGCTGGGACTCTGAAACTTAATATTTGCATTTGTCTGGTGGTTGATTGATATGTGGGTTTAACGTCCCAAAACCACCATATGATTATGAGAGACGCCGTAGTGGAGGGCTCAGGAAACTCCGACCATCTGGGGTTCTTTAACGTGCCCCCAAATCTGAGCACATGTACGGGCCTACAACATTTCCGCCAACATTTCCGAATCCCGGCTGATGCAGCCGCATCAGCCGGGATTCGATCCCGGGACCTGATTCGTCGGGGTGTCAACGCTGTCTAGGTCAGGGTTTTCTTAAACATGACATTTAATCTATGCCTTCGTTGGATCGACGCTACCGATGTCGAGCATTTCTTAACGCTCGTGCGTTAAAATTGACCCTGTGTGTTCTCGTCGTTCCTGTTTAGATACTAAGTGTCAATCACCTGTGGCACATACGCGCATACCAGTGGAATGACGTACGCGACGGGATTGTGAAATTATGTCTTGACCAGCGCGTTTTATTCATCAAACCATCGCACCCTTCAGTGCTTATTTTGGTTCACGCCAAGTTAAGGGGGTGACCACGAGAGCATTCAAACGTAAGCGGATAGATAGATACGCTCTAAGTCGCTGAAGTTCGCTGAGAAGTGCTTCGCGTTCAAAAAGCTTTCACCTCACAGGGAGAAGAAGCAAAGTGTGCATATGGACTAGGGCACAGTTTTGTGAAGTGTGCTCTTGTGGACATGGGCTATACCCATAGTGGGGCTATTATATTCTGCTTTAGCAGTAGCGATTTCATGCTTATATCAATCCTTGGTTTTAGAAGAGCCAGAAATGTTTCCTTCTTTCTCTGTCTCGCGCTGAAAATCAGCTTCCTGCAAGTAAGCGTGTGCCCACCTACCCATTGCGAGTTTAATTTTTTTTTTACAAGAAACGTTTTTTTTTCATATTTAGCCCTAACAGTCCACAAAAATTACGCTCATACGCTGGTAAATGCAAACTGCATTCTAGTCATCCTGGAACGACGGCGTCGATGAAGCAGCTTATTTGAACATATATTACAAGAACATAACAGGAGTTGGCAGGATAATATGGGGAGAGGATTGAAATACAATTTTACGAGCATAAATGCTACAATACTGATTCGAAGTAACTAAAGTATGAATATAAGCACATTGCTATGGTACATATCAATCAAGATGACGTGGTGAAGTAAATGGTGAGAGACCAATCCAGGAAACAACTGATGGAACAGGCGTGGAAGCATCCATTATGTCATAAGACGCGATCAACTTATACTCTTGCACTTGTCCAACGCCAACGACAAGCAGTGTGTGTAAGGAGTTGTTTGTTATTGTAGCCTCTTTACTGAGACTAATACACTCAGGATAGACTTCATGCAAGAAGTAAGGGTGCCGGAATGCCTTTTTCTGAGATCTAACTGCATGCGAGTCTGCGCTTAAGGGTCCTAGATAGATGAAAGTAATTCCGAAGAACATAAGCAGAATCCTCGCGTAGGCAGAATCAGTACGAACAATGTCCGTACGGCACGTAAGGCCAGGTTCCCCGAGCGAAGTAGTATGCTGCGATATATAAGCTTCATATTCATTCCTAGCCTGTGCCTATGTGGTTTGAATTTTGTGCCACCTTTGCATCGGTTTAGGGCTACTTTCCTTGGAGCTCACATTCATATATTCGTAGGGTGCAAAAGAAATATTCATGTTTACTAATAGCGGCATTTGTCAATAAATACAGCGGTATTCGATTGAATGTAGCAGATTTGCTAAGCCTCGCGCACCTCCAGTAATTGTTGCCCAGAGGTTATTTAAGTGAGCGGTATAGTTCAGAAAGAAAAGAAACGCGACCGATTTGTCAATGCCGGACAAACGTGGCTGGTATAACAGGAGAAAATTGCCGCGTTTGTGGTCACCCTTCACGGTATTTTCGTTCATGGCATTTTTGTTACAAGAAATTATGAACTCTTCTGAGCTCGGGCAGGTTGTTCATGTGGTAATATTAACATGGTTACAGTGAATTCTGGCGAGCGGGCCAGACATACTCACTTTGGGATCGGCGATGATTGCAATGGCTAGACAGAGCTTTCTCCTTACGGTCTTAGGCATCTTCCGCGGGAAACTGTTCAGGTGTGACGCGAAGTGAAGAGACCTCACCAGCAACTCCACTTGTTCTGCTATGGCGTCTGGGGCAACGCGTTGAACCTGAGAAAAAAATTACAATTTGTTGCTGCTTCATAGAAATGCTGAAGAAATCACACTTATCTCAGTGAAAACATGCCGAATGGGACGGACGCTGAGAAACGACGCGTTGAAGGCCGTAAGTTAATTTCTTGGTCATGATGCATTGCTACTTTTTTACCAAGTACGCTGCGAGAGAACAGGAGTACACGTCATTTGTTTTTGGGGAGACACAGGTCATTGGTTCCACTGCCATTGACGGAACGGTTTTTCTTGTGATCACGTGCATTTCTCGACGTCATTTCTGTCATGGAAATACGTCATTGAAGTCTTATTTGACCCCGGCATAAAACACTTTCGTGTTGAAAATTCCGCGTTACGTAGCCTTACAACTCGCTTCAACCATTTTTAACAAGGTCTAGAAAAAATCCCTGAAACACACGAAGAAGTGACCCATGGGCTTCATAATAAAGGCTTTGAGGAACATGGTCACAGCTACGGCGTTCAGGAAAGAAAAGATTCGTGCGTGCAGGTAGGCGTGTTACGGCAACGTTGTCGGGTCGTTCACCGATTCCTTGAGAAATAGTTGTGTGGGCGAAACTGGAGTGTAGTATGCCATGAAATCATCTTTCGCGAATAATCAATACAGACGCCGGAAGGTAGGATGACGTCGAAGGAGACGCACAACAGGAGGTACTCACGAGAGCGAAGAAGTAAAGATGTTCGTAGAGGGTCATATCCTCGTACAGCATGTCATTTTGCGGACAAACGCGCACATTTTCGAGTGAGTCATCGTGGTACTTGATCAGGTCGAATCCTTCGATGATAGCCGTGCCGTACGTTGGTCGCAAAAAACCTGGAAAGCCAATACACATGAAGTTGCAATAGTTCTTGCAACTACCATATATTAATGAGAGATGCCGTAGTAGACAGTTTCGGCAATTTCTACTACGTGGGTTTCTTCAATGTGCACCCAAATCTAAGCCCACGGGCATATAGCACTTTCGCCTCCAGAGATAATGCTGCCGCCGCTGCCGAGATTCGATCCCGCGGCCTGCGAATCAGCAGCCGAGTCCCTATGACATGTTTCCGGCAAAACCGCATAAAACACGCAACTAACCACGTGAATCTTCCCGTTAAGACCATGCACAGTTACTTAACAACTCATGTGACATGTTCCCGCCCAAACCACGAGTTATCAAGCACAAAAAACATTTAGCAACACACAGTGACTTCTTGCAAACCCTAGCAAAAACGGCGGGATTCAATTTCGCGACCTGTGGTTAGCAGCCTAGTGACTTAGGCACTAGACGACCGTGGTGGGTCGAAGTTGATAAGATTGCGCAGCGTTTTTATTAAGATGATAACAAAGTAAAACACCAAAAAAATTTCTTCCTAAATTAAAATGATGAATAATTCACTTCATAGTGTTTTATAGTTGACTTGGGCATTAGGTGTTCATTAATGTACCAAGAATTAACACTTGGCGTGTTAATGCTTTGCGTGTTATTTCTAAGGGGGTTCATTGATACTGACCCACTTAGCGTGGTAGTTTCAGGGAGGTTAGCTCGTGCTAACCCACTTAAAACTAACATGCCAAGTATGACAAGGCGCCTTCGAGAAAGATAGGTCCTCTTATCGAAACATCAGCCAGACTGTCTGAAGCACATCCACTGTTCATCCTACTTATCCCACTTGTCTCGAGATTAAAATATCCGCAAGAGGATGTAGGGCTCACCGGAGAGCATGTTGGAAATGGTAGTCTTGCCCGCACCGTTGTGGCCCAAGAGTACGAAGATTTGTCCGTAGTAAAGCCGCATGTTGAGATGATCCACGGCGAACTTTTTGCGGTATATCTGTGAGGTGGACGTGAAAGTTTGTAGGATTGATTCTCGTACATTACGAAAAAGACTTAGGAAAATCCCGATGGTTACCAATTACCAGGTGATTCTCAAGTGATCTGTTGGAATTGTTCATGGTTTGATTATTTTTAAACACCGGGCAACGCTATGCCCCACTGGAAGAGATTTGCAAGCGGTAGCAGACAGTATTTGCGAGCTTTCAACCTGCATGGTGTGTTACATGCTGTTAAGACCAGAGGAGCCATTGCGCTTGTATTGTGCGGCACGGCTGAAGGCTGCGACATTATTGTCCAGCTTTCTTTTTGGACCAGACGTGGATTATACCTACTTCTAGCGGTAACTGTCGTGCCCTATGTTCGCACCTACAGTTTTGATGATTGTACACTGTTACATCACCACCACTATGACCGCCCTACAAGTACACACACGCGCACCGACACAGAGACACGGGGACACGTATGAAGACACGTGCACGCATACAGTCAAAATGTGACAGCTGACAAAGAGGTCATAAGCTATGCTCGCAATATTTTTTTTTGCCTTAACAGATTTACAGAAAATAGAGACTACCTAAAGAAATGTAACGACATAAACAGTGACTGTGACGGAGAACTATACAACCTCGTGCAATGCGTTAACTTGCCGCAGTTCTAGAGGATTGCAGCGTTGTTCGTGTAAAGTACTGTTTTGTTTTTATTTCAGCACCGCATATTTTTAATAATCCTGCATGAAGAAACAAACAAATTATATTACAACTATTGGCTTAACTGAAGCGGGCTATGTCATGTTGAATGAGTTTCTATTTATTCAGTTGAATTGTGTTTATTGCGCAGCAAGGTTGTGATGAGACAAGGCGAAAAAGCTGCACTGAGCAGCTTGAAGGGAACCTGGCCAGTTCAAAGCATGCCCTATACCTAATGAACGAACAGAACAACAAAAACAGTAAACAAACACGGTAAGAAATATCGAACAAGAATATTATGCAAACATTTGAAAAACCAAGAGAAAAAATACCCGTAGTGATGAAGAGAGCAAAAAAAAAGAAAACAAAAGATGAACCTATGGCAGCACAAGCAATCATAAAAGTATGCCACGTCGGCTTTCTAGCGACAGAGTGGATACATCGAGACTATTTTCTTTGTGTATCCGATTTAAAATAGTCGGTAAACAAAACTGTAGCAATTGGTCACCGTATACAGTTCTGATTTTATTGACAGTCCAAGGTTCTATATGACCAAATTTATAAAAGCAATTATGTTGCAGTAAGGATGTCAGTTGTATTAAAGAGTCATCATTCTTAATTTTGCCTTGTCTATGCATTCGACAAAGTTTATATGTGTACAAATATTCAATTTTCATGGTACTTAGCTTTGTGAACAAAGAAGCAGTGTGCCACAGATATGGCACCCTGGAAATAAGGCATATGGCTCTTTTTGTAGTACCATGTGTTGTTAACTCAGAAGAGGCACACACTGCGAGTGTGGTGACAGATCATTAACTAGTAAAACTCGCATGAATTCTAAAGAAAGAGAGCATAGAGAGAACAAATCGCGCCCAGGGAACCTTGCATAGGTCGATGGTTTCCAGCACGAGCAAGAGGTGGCGTGGCTCCTCCTCAAAGTTCTCGTGGCCTTCATCCTGCGAGTGGCTGCTCTCCTGGCTACCCCCCGCTTTGATCTCCTCCTCAATCACGTTCCAGTAGCTCGCCTATGGAAGAATAAGAGACACAACTAGAGTGGCACTATGATTCGTGAAAGATATCAGCATTTTTTTTTTCAATTTTTATTGAAGTGCAACATTATCTTTGGTCAATTAGACATCGCTCGGCCTTCGATGACAAGGCCAAAATTCAGTTATTTCAGCTTCACAGCAGTGTTGCCACCCTACGCAACGCAAGTACGCATGCACATAGTAATCTGAGTGTTCTTTACAAGCTTTAGCGTTTTTATGGAATATTCATAATTCTTTTGCAGAACTACGTCTGCACGCTATGTCAGGCTATATAATATTTACTATACATAGCAAGCTTCGTGCTATACATGTATATCTTCAAACACAAATATGCTCGGGAAGCTTAAGCTTCGCCATTTAAGGCTGTCCTTGCGACTTTCGTAATATAGTCATTAATTGGCAATAGTATGCTATGCAGGCACACATTTGTCAGCCTGGGTGACACTGCTAGATTTCAAGCTTCAACTCGATTTAACGAACAACTTTTCATATCTTGGCATGCAACAACAGCCTTCTGTACTGCCTAGAAGCTGATTTAAAGCGCGAAATCGGACAGAATTGTGGATTTATCCATGTTTTTTTTTTCTTCAGAGAAACCAATGAAGACGCGTTGTTTAGATCTCACTTTGACAAGCCACAGCGTGCAATGTGATGTGGCCGTGATGAAACATCTATACGCCCCCTAATAACAGCTCTAGCTTTTTATTGCAATAAAAATTATATGAACCTTTACGGCGAAATTTTTTTTCACCCTCACGTCCCGGATACGTATAGTATGTATACACATTAAAGGCTCAACAAAAATAAATAAAAAAAATTCGAGGCGCACCACTAGCACTGAAGCCGGTGACCCCTCACAGCTATTCCGCGTATCACTAGTTCTTCGGGCTGCTAACGTCAAGCATATACCGATGGTGGCACGCAGCTATCAGAGGCAGTTCGGCGCGTTCAGCACCCACCCCTCGAGAGGTGGTACGAAAGGCGCGCTCCAAAACGACGCTCCTAAATTTTGTTCCAACTGCTCTTGAGACGCGCACTCAAAAGTGGACTATTTCTTTTTACCCCTTCACGATGTGCAACGCCTGGCAAGGTAGGCAGGTAATCAACTTTATTCATTCACGAAGGAATCATTTGAGGAGGGTGTGGTAGAGGAAGAGGAAGCAGGATGACGACGGGCCCTCGGGCCGCTCTAGCTGGCTGGACACTGCTGTGCTTCGGCGACCTTTCTGGCCCAGCTTACTGTTCGGAGCTGTAACCCCGGTTGCGAGCTGCGCAGAGCAGCCTCCCATCGCTCCTGGTGTTCTGACCCTTGCCACGGGGGCTTGGGTTTGTTTGGACAATTCAGAAATGTGTGCTGGAAGTCGGCTCTGGTGCTAGGACATGAGTTGCAATGAGGCGAGGTTTCGCTATGTGTAAAATCAGTGGCATACGGATGGCTAGTGATAGGTAGACAAGACACTTGCAAGCTTTCCCAAGAAACAAAGAATCTCATTAAGAAGCGTCAAAGCATGAAAGTCTCAAGCACAAAAGACAACATAGAACTGGCAGAGCTTTCGAAGTTGAATAATAAGCGTAAGGTATCCGATGTAAGAAGGTATAGCATAGAGGGAATTGAACACGCTCTGAAAAATGGAGGGAGCGTCAATGCAGCGACGAGGAAACTTGAGATAAGCAAAAATCGGATATAAGCACTAAGGGCAAAGAAGGCGAACTAACTACCCATATGGATAGAATAGTTGAAATAGCAGAGGAGTTTTACAGAGACCTGTACAGTGGCTGGGACAACCACGACCTTGATACTATAAGAACTAGCAGTACCAGAGATAACACCCTATTAGTAATGATAGAAGAAGTCAGAAAAGCCTTGGAGAGCATGCAAAGAGGCAAAGCTGCAGGGAAGGATCAGGTAACATCAGATCTGCTGAAAGATGAAGGACAGATTGTGTTAGAAAAAATTGCCCGCAGCTTCCCTCGGGGGAACACTGAGGAGGATGCGGACCATATAATTGGTTAACGGGGTGTTAAAGTGCGACTTACTTGGGTCGATGGCTAAATTGGTTAACGTGGTTGTGAAATGGGGTGTTAAATTGCGACTTACTTGGGTCGATGGCTAAATTGGTTAACGTGGTTGTAGGAGGGGGTGTTAAATGAGTGAACACGTACACACGTATGCGAAAGGGCGGCGCTGGTCGAAGGGACGTCGATCATTGTGTTTGTGGATTCGTTGGAATTCATTTCACGCGACCTTGGACGTCGACGCGCCGTACAAACCAACCGACGAGCGGCAACTGAGCGAGCGAGCACCGACCTTGAGTATATATACCGCGCGACGGCGCATGCACTGTCAGCTGTTGAATGTTCCTGAAGCGCGACGCCACATGCGCGTCCACTGGAGAATCAGGAGAATTGTAGATGTCGAACGCGGTGTGTAGAGGAGGAAGGGTGCACAGATGGTGGAGGAGTGAAGCACGCGCGGTGTGTGGAGGAGGAAGGGATGCACAGATGGTGGAAGAGTGGGCGACGGCGCGACGGTGCATGCGCGCGCGTCAGCTGTCGAATGTTCGAGAAGCGGTGCGGACGGCGCGGACGGCGCACTACAAGGCGCGAGTATAAGATGCTTCCGCATCTAAAACTAGCCACTCTGTTAGCGAGGTGTCTTCTGACAGGAAGAGTACCGGAGTCTTAGAAGAATTCTAACATCCTCTTAATACATAAGAAAGGAGATGACAAGGACTTGAAGTATTACAGGCTGATCAGCTTGCCCTTCATAGTATACAAGCTATTTACAAAGGTAATTGCTAACAGAGTTAAGAAAACATTAGAATTGAATCAAGCAAAAGAACAAGCAGGATTTCGAACAGGCTACTCAACAATCGACCACATTCATGCAATCAATCAGGTAATAGAGAAATGTTCAGAATGTAGCCAACCACTATACAAAGCTTTCATAGATTACGATAAGGGGTGATTCAGTAGAAATATCAGCATTTATGCAGACACTGCGGAATCAGGGCGTCGATGAAGTATATATAAACATCCTGGAAGAAATTGACAGGGGATCAACAGCTACCATAGTGCTTCATAAAGAAAACAACCGAATACCAATCAGGACGGGTGTAAGGCAGGGGGATACAATCACTCCAATGCTTTTTACCGCGTGCTTACAGGAGGTTTTCAGAGGCGTAGAAAGGGAACAGGTAGGGATAAGAGTCAATGGAGAGTACCTTAGTAACCTGCGCTTCGCCGATGACATTGCATTGCTGAGTAAATCAGGACGATTTGCAACTCATGATTACGGAGTTAGACAAGGAAAGTAGAAAGGTGGGTCTTAAAATTAATCTGCAGAAAACGAAAGTAATATACAACAACTTCGGAAGAAAGCAGCGCTTCTACATAGGTAATGGCGCACTTCAAGTTGTAAAAGACTATGTCTACTTAGGGCAGGCAATAACCGCGGAGCCTAACCACGAGATGGAAGTAACTAGAATAAAAAGAATGGGGTGGAGCACATTTGGCCAGCACTCTCAAAATAAGACAGGTAGATTGCCCCTATCCCTCAAAAGTATATAACAGCTGTATTTGCTGTTTGCCGGTACTTAGCTGCGGAGCAGAAACCTGGAGACGTACAAAGAGGGTTCAGCTTAAATTGAGGACGACGCAGTGAGCAATGGAAAAGAAAATGGTAGGTGTAACCTTAAGAGACCGGAAGAGAGCACAGTTTATTAAGGAACAAACGGAGGTTAAGAATATCATAGTTGAAACCAAGAAGTGGAAATGGACATGGGCTGGGTATGTAGCGCGTAGACAGGATAACCGCTGGTCATTAGGGGAACTGACTTGATTCTTAAAGAATGCAAGCGGGTTAGGGGGAGACAGAAGGTTAGGTGGGCAGATGAGATCAGGAAGTTTGCGGGTATAAATTGGCAGCAGCAAGCACGGGGCCGAGTTAACTGACGGAACATAGGAGAGGCCTTTGTTCTGCAGTAGACGTAGTCAGGCTGATGATGATGATAATGATGACGAAGGATGTCAGTTGTAATAGTCATCATTCTTAATTTTGCCTAGTCTATGCATACGACAAAGCCTACATGTGTACAAAGATTCATTTTTATGGTACTAAGCTTTGTGAACAAAGAAGCAGCGTGCCACACATATGGCACCCTGGAAACAAGGCGTATGGCTCTTTTTTGTAGTACCATGAGCTGTTAACTTTAACAGAAGAGGAACACACTACGAGTGGGGTGACAGAGCGAGAACTTGTAAAACTCGCTGGAATTCAAAAGAAAGACATCATAGAGAGAACAAATCACGCCCAGGAAACCTTGCATAGGTCGATGGTTTCCAGCACGAGCAACAGATGGCGTGGCTCCTCCTCGAAGTTTTCGTGAACTTCATCCTGCGAGTGGCTGCTCTCCTGGCTACCCCCCGCTTTGATCTCCTCCTCAATCACGTTCCAGTAGCTCGCCTGTAGAAGGATGAGAAATGCCTTTAGGGAGGGGGGGGGGGGGGGGGCTCCATGACTTTTGAAAAGCATCAGCATTTTTTCAAATTTTTATTGAAGCGCAACGCTATCTTTGGTCAATTAGACATTGCTCAGCCTTCGAAGACAATGCCAAAATTCAGTTATTTGCCTTCACAGTGGTGTTACCACCATACACGATTCAAGCACACTTGCATATAGTAATATAAGTGTTATTTAAAAGGTTCAGCATTTTTGTGGAATATTCGAAACTCTTTTGCAGAACTACGTTTGCACGCTATGTCCGTCTATATAACATTTGCTATACATAGCAAGCTTCCTGGAACACGTATGTTCATATACAAAAATGCTCAAGATGCCTAAGCTTGCCCTTACAGGCTGTCCTTGCGACTTTCGTAATATATACTTTAATCGACAATATTATACAGGCACACATTGATCGTAGCACAAACGGCACTGCTCTAATTCGAACGAGCCCCGCCGCGGTGGTCTAGTGGCTAAGGTACTCGGCTGCTGACCCGCAGGTCGTGGGTTCAAATCCCGGCTGCGGCGGCTGCATTTCCGATGGAGGCGGTAATGTTGTAGGCCCGTGTACTCAGATTTGGGTGCACGTTAAACAACCCGAGGTGGTCAAAATTTCCGGAGCCCTCCACTACGGCGTCTCTCATAATCATATGGTGGTTTTGGGACGTTAAACCCCACAAATCAGTCAATCAATCAAATCTAATTCAAGCGAGAACTCGATTTAACGAACATATTTTCATTCCGCAATATGCAGCAACGGCGTTCTGTGCTGTCATTAAGCTGATTTAACAGTGCCAAATAAAGCAGCATTGTGCATTTAGCTACGTTTTTCTTCATAGATACCAATAAAAGCACGTGGTTTTGTTCTTGATTGATTGATATGTGGGGTTTAATGTGCCAAAACCACCATATGATTATGAGAGACGCCGTATTGAAGGGCTCCGGAAATTTCGAGCGACTGGGGTTCCTTAACGTGCACCCGAATCTGAGCAGATGGGCCTACACCATTTCCGCCTCCATCGAAATTGCAGCCGCCGCAGCCGGGATTTCATCCCGTGACCTGTGGGTCAGCAGTCGAGTGCCTTAGCCATTAGACCACCGCGGTGGGGCGTGGTTTTGTTCTCACTTCAACAAGACGCAGCATGAGATGCAATGTAACCGTAATTAAACACCTATGGACCCCATAATAACAGCTGTAGCTTTTTATTGCAATAGCAATTACATGGACCTTTCCGGCGAAATTTTGTTTTCACCCTCATGTCCGGGTATGTATAGGTATACACATAAAAGGCACAACAAAAATAAATAAAAGTTCGAGGCGCCTGTGATACCTCTCTCCACAGCCTATCGCGTTAGACAGCTCTGCCAATTACCACTCGTTATTTGCACTGCTAACGTTGATCATTTACCAATGGCGGTACGCAGCTACCGAAGGCACTTCGGCGTGTTGAGCACCCCTCGAGAGGTGGTACGAAAGGCGTGCTTCCAAACGATGCACCTAAAGTTTGTTCCAACTGCTCTTGAGTCGTGCACTCAAAAAGTGGACCATTTCTTTACCCCTTCATAATGTCGAACGCCTGGCAAGCAATGCTTCGAATGCCACACGCCGAACGAGGCACTGAGTGGTCACTAAACACGCTGCACTGTTTAGCACGAAGGCGCTGACATAGTCGATGCTTGCAGCACGCTGATCAAAAACGAAATGTAGCAACTGTATAGATCAGATGTCAGTTCTCGCTCGTCCTGCGGATACACGTGCGTTCTTTTCGAGCACAATTCTTTGTGTTCGAGTAACGTGATTCAAGTGTCTAGTTGTGACAACTGATTGTTTGCGCTCGTTCGGCGCGTTCTTCGCATTTAGGTGACACTACAGTTGTTTCTCAATCAAGATCTCAAATTCCCATTCATTGCTATTGCATGAAATGCTTTGCCCGCGTGGCGGAACTGGCCTTGTTTTTCTAACGAAGCTGCACGTCTTGCCCATGCACAGAACGCTCGACACGGCAGTTGGTGGAATTCTCTCATGGGGGGCTGCAGTGGTTACTTCCCTTGTTTTGTTTAAGTAACTGATGACACTTGTCCATTCGCAAATTTTTTGTTTTCCTTGTTCACACAATCGCTGCATTTTTCCCAATCGTCGTTGCATATAGGCCGTCCCTTATAGCTTCAGGTGGCTCGACTTGAATCGCCAAACGTGGGCATTCCCTGTGAGGGCCACCCTAGCTTACTTTTTACGCTCTAACGCTTCAGTTGCCGGCATGTACAACGCCACGGCGACTTTTTATAGATGTTGCGTTAGGTTTCCAAGACCCGAAAATAATCCGCTATAATTTCATGAACTTTCCGATTCAACAAATATTTTTATCGCTGTCACTAGTTAATTGAATCGAGTTTGAACTATATACGGCGCAAATTTGGAACGTCTTTCTCCTCACCATGAATGGAAAGTGCAGTGGCAGTGGCACCACGTTGGTCCACGGTAGTACGGCCTCCAGATACCAGATGGCGACAGTGAACACGAAAGAGCTCGCACCCATACAGAGCATGAGGGTGAAAGGGGTCACGTTGTCCCTACCAAGAGCTTTCCGGTAGATGGCGGGCCAGCCAAACGGCACGTCTGTGTAGAAAATCGTAATCGGTGAAACGTACTATTATTTAACTACAAATTGGTTCATTCCACACCAAACTTCCCAGCCATTTCGGCAACCATCTCGAATGTATCTGAAAAAAAATTTGTGCTGGTTTACTTCATTGAAAACAGTGAACTGCTAAAATATTTCTGAGAGAAAAAAATGTTTGGTCACGTGGCTGCCTTCTCAACTTCTTGGAATGTCATTTGGGTGTTGTTTGTGGAAAAATGTATTTTAAAAGTACCGCTCCTTCTTTCTATATTAAATTTGGTCTACATGTTAAGTAAAGGTGCTTGTGTAAGGAGTTTTAATGCTCAGTAATATTAGTGCATTTTTACTGGAAAATAGGCCTCCAAGAGTTTAGCCAAAATGCATTTATTCTATTGCAATACCACATGTAGAACATGAAGGCTCCCTAGCACTCACGCTACTCCAGCTCGTGCTCGGGTGAGAGTGAACACCGTTAGCGGTGCGGCGCTGTTCTGTGTGATAAAAGTGCTTACTCCTTCTAGATGGCTCTGCGGTAGAACTCCCGCTCCACTCCGGCGCGTGCTCTGGTATGAGTGGAGACCGCTAGCAGCGCTGCGCTGCGCTATATCTTAAAAGCGCTTACTCCTCTTCATCTCACGCACACAGCGCCGCAGTATGAATGGCGACACGAGCATAGGCGCGGCGGAGGCAAAGGCTTGCTAAGCTGCTGTGTGCGCAATCATGAAAGTCTACGGTGACCAATAAAGAGCACCACTTTCCAGAACTTCAAGTCTACCTATGGCTGGTTCGCGTACAACTCAGGGTCACCTCTAAGCGCTGATGTATGTGATTCTTGCAGCGTCGCTTACACTGATGACTTTGAGTGCGTTTATGCCTGCTGGCGTCACGAAGCACCCTATTTTTTAAAGGGCTAGCAGCTGAACAATAGGCCCTCACATACTGCCAGTGGACGTGAAATCTTTCAGAAGAACCTAGCTGTGAATGAAATGATGAAAGGGAGCCCCCAAAATTTTCTTTCATTTTTCTGGCACTTCAGAAAATCAAGGCCGACAACCGAACAATCAATTCCCGATAAAGGGACCAAATACTGCGCATAACATGAAATGAGGCTTCAGTGATAAAAACAATGTCGGTCGCATTGGCTCAAACCTACTCTTTGGTTCTTTTTCATGAGAGGTGATTTGGTATTGGGGCACTTCCGCTAGCGAAAACATGAATGAACTGACGTACCGGGCTACGTGACCATTGATTGCTGCAAGTGGTCGATAGTTTTCGTGTTAGCATTTAAATAGTGTTCCCCAATTTACATAAAAAGTATGATTCCATGAAAGTTTATTCATGAGCTTGTGTTACTAGAATCACATATAAAGTGACGCTGCCTTCGCGTGATCCCATGCTCGATATCGCGTCTTGAACAGCTTAGTGCGCTCATGCTACCGTACAGGCCGTTTCTATGTAGCTAAGATGTTGGAGCGACATAGTTTTACTATCTAAACTTCGTCTCACAAATGGCGTGCACTGCTACTCAGCACGGCGCTACATGTACGTTGTGACATTTTGATGACTTGACTTGGCTCGCGTATCGAGAAAGTAACAACGCCGGGACAAGCCACCCACGACACAGGGACATTCAACCTCGGGCGCAGGCGCGCAGAACGTGGTACGAAAACAAAGAACATTTATAATGCCAAATTATCTCATTCTAACACTTTGTTACTTTAACAACAGTGGAAAAGCTCAAATTAAAGGTGGTTAAGCATAGTTATGGCGAGTCCTGCGAAAGCAGAACGACAAGAGCCTTCACAAATCGGGTTGGCGTGAGAAGGGCTGGCGGCAGGGCTATCGATTGTCAACGTTTCTGGAGAAAAATTGCATCTGTGTTTAGAGCCTTCCAACTAAAAAAATACTACTTGCAAAATAACTACCTGCTTTTAGGATTAACTACTGCAACTGCAAACACTATGAAAGGTGAGCTTTCTGTCGAAGCGTAAACAAAAAAAAGGGGGGTCGAGAAAAATATGTTGTCGGTGCCTTTAAGCAAGGTGGTAGTAACGGCTAGCATAGAAAACAGCAATATAGAAGTGTGTGCAAGCTGCAAGTTGGCTTAGTAGTCGTCTAGACGTACCGTAAGACTCGTAGAACTCGACGATGCGCAGGAAGAAGTACAAGCCGTGTATGGGAATCAGGGAGGCGGCTACCTTGGAACTGCTCTTGGTTGAGATGTAGGCGGACACTGTGCGTGCAGTCCACTCGAGTGACAGGAAGGGGCCCAACAGAGACACGGTCCACAGGATGAGGCCACACGCCAGGCCGAGGCTCGCTGCGACAGCGTGTGCCTTACATTGCCACAGTCGCGAAGGAGAAATCCTCCAGTGTACAATAGCGGAAAGTTTGCGTGTAAGACATGGAAATTACGCTTGTACACAAGCACATGTTTAAAGAGGGACATCTTACTTACACAAGAGTTGTGCGATGGACATGTCTTGCAAATTAAATGCACAACATAATGTAGGATTCCATAGTCTGATGGGAAAGAGTTGTTTGGGAAAACACACCCGTCGTGATTCTCGTAATTCTAAATCATGCACGAAACTTACGCATCTCCCCCATACGGTGAAGCTTTAAGGTCATTAGCATGTAAATCTATTGATTCGGTATGGTGAAGTTCCAACTTCTCAGTTTACAAAATCGTTAAAGACGCCGATACTTGAGGTAAGCATGAACAGTTTCCCTAGCGCGAGCTGCCTCTCGTTACGAAGATTCGAAATTTCATTCTGTGGCATGCGTACTATTTTTTTTGTTGCACATTATCGACTTGTCCCTTGATACGGATGTTGAGATACACGTCGGCTGCAAGTTTTGTCGCATTCTATTATTCTTCAGATATATGGCGACGAAATGTAGCAGAAGCGTCGAGCGGATTATCGCTCGCACGCTTGCAAGACGATAGCGCCCTGCCTTGTGCAGTGCCGGTATCATGCGCATGCTTTCGAAGCGTTTGAAACAACTTTATGTAAATTCTATTGATTACAACAAGATTGCCGGGTATTGCTAGCCCCATTTTGAGGTTCTAGTAAGCCTCTTGTTGTCAACGTCCTCACACCACACAAGATTTATCGTAAAAAACAGCGTTGTTACACCAGAGAACGACAGCAACATGAGCATTTATTTCGTATGAAAAAGGGGATATGCGCATTGAAAAAGGGGATAAGGAGGCCAGATTAAGAAAAGAAAGATTATGCGCATGCGTCTTGACTAGTACATGAAACTGCGAAGTTTAATCACGGGGACAAATAATCTACTTGTCAGTTAGTACGATAGACGATGCGCTTACACATTTATGATGGCCCAATGGAATGTATTTTGAACGCTACGTATAGCACCCCGAGTACGAAAATCGTAATATCTGCATAAGATGTGCGTCTGTTCAAAATTCGTAGTGCGACTACACTCGTTCGCCAGCACTGTGTCCTCTTGTCGTTATTCTTTCATATAACCGCGCTTTTTTATGATGAATCCGTTCCAACAAGCTCAACTTTTTAGCCTTTTAAACCACATGAGATCGATGCTGGACAGACTGTGCCCCCAAAGTGCTATGCACCTAAAGAGAGGGTACGTGAATTTGGCGTGGGATGATGCCGGCGATGGCGCTGGCATCGCGGATTTCGGGACTAGGCAACTGATGGCACTTGAACACCGTTATCGATCACACAATAAAGACTGCCAGAACACTGTTGTGGCCTTTCGCTGTGCCTGTTCCCTCAAGCACCTGGCAAATGATGTGTCTTTGCACAATATGGAAAAATATTGAACCTTTCTTTCATGTAAAAAGGGCTGCTATCGTTCAGCATCAATACAATGCGTGGGTGATAGCAAAAAAAAGGGAGGGGGGAGAAGGAACAGTGAATTAGGACATATTTAGGTGCTAGTCGGTTCATTCTAGTAAACTCATGCGCTCAATGTGTCTCGTGTTGTGCTTTCCCAAATTGTGCGCACTTAAAATATATGAGCGAAAATAGTGCGGATATGAATATTATGTGAAGTGAATTCTCTGTATACTGCAGCTATTACTGCAGCTATAGCTGCAAGATTTAGCCACCAGTATTCCGCACATGCCAGTGCGGAATACAAGAGAAGCTCCTGTTGTAAGACCGTGAAAACACCGTAGCAAGAAATTACGTAACGAAAAAAGAGCGCGCTGCCTTGTGGATTATTTCCTCAGCTTTTCGCAATGATGCTACAAAGCTTCATGAGCTCCCATAGAAATAGTTGTCAACTACAATAATGCTGCACTAGAGTGTGTACGTACAAGGTAGTTACACCGCTTCTTATGACGACGTTCCTCGCCCGACCGACTGATTGCGTCCACTACTCGTGCTTATTTGCAATATGTAGGTCAACGCTGAACGTCGGCGGAAGGCAGGGTCATTTTCGAATTCTACAAGGCCTCGATCTCTACCTACTAATAAAATGGCCGTAATTAATGAAGTTGTTGCCGTTCAAGCATTAGTAGATACTGGGGCTGGTGTGCCTGTGTTGAGTGAATCAGTGTGTCGCAAGCTCAAAGTTACGTAACTTAGAAGTGTGGCAGCTTGGGCTAGTTGGTATGGCATGACGATAGTTACAGCGCGAGAACAAAACGACGACACAGAGACAAGAAGGACATGAAAGACACGAGCGCTAACAATGTTAAAACGGGAAAGATGGTTTTCTTGCTCAGCACTGCACTGAGTGCAATTGTGTTCCCCTCATCAAAGACACAGCGACGCTGTACAAGCACAGAGATGAGCGCACCCGAGTCATTGTCGAGGCCGCGCAGATGGCACGCGAACAGGTGCCTTGTATTAGCAAGCCCTCCGTGGCTCTCTCCGAGAAGGAACTCAGGTTCCTTGAAGATTTCGGTGCGCGCAAGTAGCTATATTATCTTTACCTTTCTGTTTCGTTTTCTTGTAGATTTTTCTTTGCTATTTTTCTGTGCTTTTGTTTTTTGTCTGTTTTTCTCTTACTCATGTTCTACTCTTTGTGCCATATGATTTTTATTACATGGTTACTGTCTCCTTTATATATTTTCATGCTCTGCGCAATTAACTCAGTTCGAAGTAGCGCGCGTGTCTTTCGTGTCCTTCTTGTCTCTGTGTCGTCGTTTTGTTCTCGCGCTATAACTATCGTGAAAGTTACGATTCCGCTTTCTAGCGTCTCCCTGCCTATGGCCACCGCGCATCACGTAAACTCTTCTATGAGGTGCACGGCTTGGCTGACGATCCAGGACGCTCTGTACGTGGTCGTATTCATCATCTTCGCACACTGCTCGCACGACGTCATGTTAGGTCGAGGCTTTCTTTCCACACATCATGGTACTGTTGATTGTTTCGGTGCCGAACTACAATTATCCTCGAACTTTGCTAGACACCTTATAGCTACTGACCAATTACGGTAAATGGCGAGTATTTTGTGCACTAGCGCTTACGTGTGTCAAAAAAGAGTGACGCAAAGAGGCCCATGAGGACGTATCCCGAGTTGAAGATGAGCATGGCCGAAAAGACGATCATGGGGTTGGTGCGGAAGATGAAGGCCAGTCCGTGGGGACCGTTCAGCTGACTCATCATGGCCAGCACCAGCACGCTGCTCAGCGTCCACGTCACCATGCCGCACATGTAGTGCACCAGCCAAAACCAGGTGCGTGGGACGCCCATCAGTTTGGTGAACAGCTGCACGATTTACGGTTATTCAAGCAGGGCCTCCCACAGGTAGCACAACAGAGTAATCTTTTTTTTTTCATATCGTAGTTCAGAATAGCTTACGTATGGTATCGGTGGCGCGAAACTAGGCGGTTAACATCGCATCTAAATAATAGTGCTACGGTAGACGCATGTACATGAAATGGGTAAAGTTGGGGCGTCCGACATGATGCGATATGGTGAAATATTAAATCAATATGAGGTCAGCATGACGAGGCCCTTAAGTCTTTCGTCTATATTCATCACTCAAAAAGAGTTGTACCCTTCGCTATGTTCATTATTTTTTGCCATACAACAATGCATTCTTGCCAAGATGGCGTGCCGAGTTTTTGAACAAATGAGACTCGAGCAAATCAGGTGATTAATGCGAGACGAAAACACTCGAATGGCACACTTTGTTTACACTTAGCGATCAAGTTAATTTTTTGAATGTCAAGCGTTACGTTGAGAGAGGTTTTAAAAAGGCTGCGTATGAACGGCAAAGTCTCTTGGAGAAGTTTCACACTACACCGGCAAGCTGTGAGGGACGACACAGTAGAATATGCACTTATGTGGAAAAGTGATGAGAATTCGTGTAACGTTAGCAAGGCTACACGCGGATTTATTTGTGTGAGAAATTCGGAACAGGAAGGGGGTGGGGCGGGGGGTGGAGAACTTGACGCTTCCATAAGCGGATTTGTCTTTTTCTGAAATCTGCAGCTGCAAAGGTTGAAGCCTTGAAAGAGAAATGTCCGCTTGTCGAAACGCCAGCTGCAGCATACACCCTGTTTACGAATTCCTTCATCACAAGCTTCAATCTCCCCCTCTTTGCCGTTCTTGTGAGTATACATTAAGACACTCATGCCGCTATACTAACGGGGATCATGCGCCGTTATTCACTGCATAAATCTATGACAACACCATGATAAGAACCGAGAACACAAAGTACACCTAACTACTTACATGTGCGAACACACAAATGCCCGCTTTCACCCCACTGAGCGGTCATTCAAACACAAAGTACACCTAACTACTTACATGTGCGAACACACTGATGCCCGCTTTCACCCCACTGAGTGGTCATTCGAGTGCGAGTGACATCCGCAGTGTCTAACCGACGAAATTCCGTTGAAACCACTGCGGCTGCAAAGGCCGGCAACTTCGTGCGTAAGCTGAGGTGAGCGAATGGAGGATGCAAACCAACACCTACTTGGCAAGCCTCCGTACCCTGCATAGTGACTTCACGCAATGTGGACGGCCATTCACATTGCTAAGCAGGGAGGAATGAATTCGGGGGCGACGAAACTTCGTATCATGTGCCATGTCTAGAAGCACTGTGCACGGGCCTGCCATCGGCGGGGCACGCACTAGGCTTTTCGGCACGTGGTCGCATATTTAAAATACCTGACTGTAACCCCTCCTTTTCTTTAGAATAGGTTGCTTTTTTGTGCAGTTTCTTCACGGTGATTATTCATCTGAGTTTAGAAAGCAAGTCCTAGCTTACCAGACATACAACGCGTGGGCCGCGCACGCTGGGCACAGAGAACGTATCCTTCGGTCACCCTACATTAAGTGGTTCGCACGCCCTAATACTGCAGTCATTAAACTAATCAACCTCCTTTCTGCTGTCCCGCTACATGCCGTCGGAGGGCGATTGCTTTGAGAGCGAGGGAGGAGTGCCGCTGTTGATGCTTGAAGTAAGAGCAGCTACCGAGTTCAACCGTTCAATTCTGCTTGCTGTAGTGCAATGATATTCAAAAAACGAAGCCAGACAATGTTTTCTGTACGAGTATTTAATGCTTTTGCGAAGATACCGAAAATGCTACATCAAATATGGTTAATTAAGCCTCCATTCTCTGTACAACGTACATCTAAGACTCGACAGATAGATACTTTGAATGCGTACTGTATACTCTTTATATTGGTCGGCACTAAAAATTGTTTCGAAGTATCTCCCCAGTCGTGGCAGAACCATCCGTAATGTTTGATGGATGTTGTGATGATACTTCCGCGACGAAGTCAGGGCTGGAACGTCACTCGCCTGCATGCCGCTCTGTCGCTCCTCGATGGCGCGTGTGATGACAAGGCAGAAGGGCCAGGCGTAGGCGACTCCCAAGCGTAGCGCTATGAGGAACATGGTGTTGTCTGTGTCCTCGTGGTAAGTCGGGTACGGGAACTGGCGCAGCTTGACCGTGACGTCTTCGTGGGTGTGGTTGGTGTACCGACGGTGCTCGAGCTCGTGGATGTGCGCCAAGTCGACTGCCGACTGAACGGCAGCCACGCGGAGAGACATTGCTGCGCGCGGGAAACGCCGTCAGTTTATTTCATTCCAATGCTTGCAGTTTCAGCGTCAGCTCATGGGTTACGTATGCGCAGAAATCGACACACTTGATTACTTGATGAGGGTTTTAAGAGTATATATATACAGTCTAAGAACTTGCAGTAACCCAGATGACACCCCACCGGTAATGATAGAAGAAGTCAGAAAAGCTTTGGAGAGCGTGGAAAGAGGCAAAGCTCCTGGTGAGGATCAGGTAACATCGGATCTGCTGAAAGATGGAGGACACATTGTGTTAGAAAAACGAGCCACCCTGTTTACGAGGTGTCTCCTGACGGGAAGGGTACCACAGTCTTGAAAGAATGCTAACATCGCCTTAATGCATAAGAAAGGAGGATGACAAGGACTTGAATTAAAGGCCGATTAGCTTGCTCTCTGTAGTATACAAGCTATTTACAAAGGTAATTGCTAACAGAGTAAAGAAAACATTAGAATTCAATCAACCAAAGGAACAAGCAGAATTTCGAACAGGCTATTCAACAATCGACACCATTCATACTATCAATCAGGTAATAGAGAAATCCTCAGAATATAACCAACCACTATACATAGCCTTCATAGATTACAAGAAGGCGTTTGATTCAGTAGAAATATTAGCCATCATGCAGACACTGCGGAATGAGGGCGTCGATGAAGTATATATAAACATCCTGCAAGAAGTCTACAGGGGATTGACTGCTACCATCATGCTTCATAAAGAAAGCAACAGAATACCAATCAAGAAGGGTGTATGGCAGGGGGACACAATCTCCCCAATGCTGTTTACCGCGTGCTTACAGGAGGTTTTCAGAAGCCTAGAATGGGAACAGGTAGGGATAAGAGTCAATGGAGAATACCTTAGTAACCTGCGCTTCGCCGATGACATTGCATTGCTGAGTAACTCAGGACGATTTGCAACTCATGATTACGGAGTTAGACATGGAGAGTAGAAAGGTGGGTCTTAAAATTAATCTACAGAAAACGAAAGTAATGTACAACAAGTTCGGAAGAGAGCAGCACTTCGAAATAGGTAATGATGCACTTCAAGTTGTAAAAGATTATGTCTACTTAGGGCAGGCAACAACCGCGGAGCCTAACCACGAGATTGAAGTAACTAGAATAATAAGAATGGGGTGGAGCGCATTTGGCTAGCACCCTTAAATTACGACAGGTAGATTGCCCCTATCCCCCAAATGTATATAACAGCTGTATTTGCTGTTTGCCGGTACTTAGCTATGGAGCAGAAACCTCGAGACATACAAAGAGGGTTCAGCTTAAATGGAGGACGACGCAGCGAGCAATGGAAAGAAAAATGGTAGGTGTAACCTCAAGAGACAGGAGGAGAGCAGAGTGGATTAGGAAACAAACGGGGGTTAAGGTTATCATAGCTGAAATCAAGAAGAGGAAATGAACATGGGCCGGGCATGTAGCGCGTAGACAGGATAACCGCTGATCATAAAGGGTAACTAACTAGATTCCCAGAGAAGGCAAGCGGGTTAGGGGGAGACAGAAGGTTAGGTGGGCAGATGAGATTAAGAAGTTTGTGGGTATAAATTGGCAGCAGCAAGCACAGGGCCGGGTTAACTGGCGGAACATGGGAGAGGCCTTTGTCTTGCAATGGACGTAGTCAGGCTGATGGTGATGATAATACAGTAACAAGGGCCTCAGTTACAAATAAAAAAAAGCTATTCCAATGCAAGGCTGGCGAAAGATTAGGTAATTAACAGGCAGAAACTGTTGGAATACGAAGTGAAATGATATGAAGAATTAAAGAAAACAAACCAAATCGCGCAAAATAATCTACAAAGCAGTACAATGCATTGAACTAATTCTCTCAAAATACACATAAAAATAAAAGCTAAATGTAGAAAAAAAAGGAAAAGCAGGGAATATCAAAACAAACGCGTGAAAACCCCATAGAAAATGACATGCATGAAATAAGGTGAGCTATTCGAAGTTAATACAAATATTTTATTTTGTTTTCAAATGGAAAACTCTGGGCAGTTTTTTTTTTTTAAGCCTGGATTCCACTGCTATAACTGAACTTATTTTTCTAAGAGGCAAATATCATCTAAGCAATGCTAATCCGTGTTCACGTGCAGTACTCAATGATTCCAACGCGAAATCTGGAGTTCCAAGTTGGACAACAAGTATGTGCAATTGGTTGACATAACCACGTCAGATCATGATGAATCGGTCGCTGACGATAATATTGGCTGGTTACGTAATAGTTACATTACATAAATATTACATGAACGCAAGACTGTGGAAACAAAAGTGGATGCGTTGATAGCTCAATGTTTACCTGTTTCAATCAGTGAACCAATGTACAATGCTTTTCTGCAATTTGACTCAAATTACAAATGCACTGGTACTGCAGAATCAACGCAGCGCAACGGATCGTTCTAGTAAATCTCCCTAGACAAGTTTTTCGCTAAGGTCAACGTGTTGGTTCACGTTAGTGCTATCTCGTATGCAGAAAAAGCATACGAGATAAGAACTAACGCTCGTGTAACACATTTACCGCGCAAATATGTCGGCGTCAAAATGAAGCTTCGATATCCGTGAAATGTCAGCCGCGTTTACTCACGCTCTTCCAGTTGCGAGGGTCCGTTCTCCCGGACCACCTTGCGCGCCTTGGCGATCTCGTAGGCGCCGCTCGAGAACATGATGGTGTACGTCAGGTCGTGGGGAATGTCGTCACCCAGAGACTCGGTGTGGAAGTACAGACCGAGCGTGTTAGGCGTGACGTTCTTCGAGAAGAGCAGCTGCGCCATGGCCACCTCGTCCGTGATCGTCTTGACCGCTGCGGTACAAGGCGCAACGTGTGAATGCCAGACACATTCACGTTACAACTGTTGTACACCTCTTAACGTAATTAGATGCAAATTGGGTGCGACTTTGCTGTGTTTACTGTTGGCATGTTCATACGGTAGTTCTTTCCTGCACGTGCTGTTATCTCAGCGGCTGTAGCACAGCAGCGTTGGCAAAGGGGATGTCGTGGGTGGGATTACACTGATTCGCATTTATGTGCAGATGGCAAGCACACTTACGCTTATGTTTACGCACGTGGGCTTTCCACGTACGTAGACATAAGTGAACATGAAACAAGTTCGAGTGATCAAAAGTAATCCTTCAATGGTGTGTGCCTACACTACATACCATACGCTTATATTTGGGCTGACACGTATAATCACGTAGTTACGTAGCTGTGCGTGCCATGTTTGCAAGTTTCGCATAGATAATGGATAGACAAAATAGAGCACTGTGGAACCATCGTTCGAACATTCATCAAAATCATTTGAGAGCAACGTCAGTGCGGCTCCTTCTGGGCGGAAACGGCATCGCAAAGGCGGCTGGTATGACAACAGACAAATGCACTGCAGGCAATGTTCGAACGTGAAGTCAGTCCATAGAATGACTTTTTTGTCAAGTTTTACCATGTTGGACAATAAGTAAAATGGTTTAATCAGAGTCTAGAGAAACGCCATGTCAGCGCGGAGCTCCCAACCTGGTCAAAGCAACAGGTGAAGAACAGCCTTTTTATAGAGCTTCTTGTAATCTGGCTGGGGGTGACTACTACACGAACACTTCAATGGCATCTCCGATTCTATAAATCACAATTTATGTATTGTATAGACGCACCAACTACACCCTTAGAAGACCCTAAGTAACCCGTGCACATCTGTGAAGCTTAACGTGCACTTTGTCTATGCGGTGGCTGATGTCGACGAATGATTACGGCTAAGCTCATCGTGATCAGTTGGAATCGTTTAAGGGCCGGCTACGCAGCTTCCAATTAGTTACGCCCGGTCACTGTGTTACTCGTCTATCACGCTCAATTACAGCACTTAACGTAATTCTTTCTCCATCTTTCTGCGAACAAACAAAATAACCTTTACACATCTGTGAGGCATTGTGTGCAGTTTCTTTATGCTGCATGTGGCTGCATGTGTCTGATGAAGATGAAGATTACGGCTGAGCATTTTGTGGTGAGCGGGAAGCGTTAAACCACACACTCATTGCGCAGTTGGCCCTGTGTGACGCCTGGCTGCTTATTTTACTCTGCTGCTTCGCTATATTGCGTACGATTTCTACTCAATATTACGCCCATATAGGGTCTTTTTGGAAGTGACTTTCTATCTACAGGTTGGCTTTGTGGTAGATTAGACAGCTATGCTGAAGGCCCGAGTTGAAGTCCCAGCGGACCCTGGATGTATCTTCCCGAATTTCTTTTTTCGCGCGATAGCGGTTATGGCCACCGATGGTGGCAGCACTGTTGCGTGCCCCCCCCCCCCCCCCAATGCATGACTACTTATAGATACCAGATGAGAGCACATGGCGCACAGTGTACCTTGTTACGAATGTGTAACTTCGCAGCCGTTGCTTCAATGCTAAGCCGCATTCAATCATTGTCCATGTTTTATTGTCATAAGCAAGGCAGTATGACTGGCGAAACGATGGCGGTAATAACGGTTCAGTCATTTACGTAAGCCTTATTAGCAAATGACCTTCTTTTATAAACGCCACTGTTCCCGTCCTAATTTTGCCTATCTAGAAATGACCACTGTTATGACAATCGAAACGCTCCCTCAAAGCTGATGACTATTTCTACCTTGAACAGCGTTCATCACTTACCGACTCCCTGGCAGGTAGCCACGGACGGCGTTGATGATACGGCGCGTGTAGTTGTTCACGGGACCGTAGAAGACGGTGTCTAACCTGAGGTCCGATAAGTCCGGCGAGTACACGGGGTAGATGATGCTACTGACGACGGCGTCGTTGCCGCCGAGGCCCTCGCTCGTTCTGGATCTTGATGAACGGCACGGTGACCATGAGAATCTCGACGAGGAAGGCGATGGGACGCACTCGGAGGCGCCGAAGGTACATGTTCTTCCACACCAGCGCCGAGAACTGCAGCACGCGCTCCATGGCGATACGGTCCGAGCGCTGCCGGAGAGAATACGAGCTGCTCCGCCGTGATCAGGCACTTGCGCGTCCAGTTTTGTACACGGCTCGTTCTTCGGGCAGCGGGTCGTTCTCCCGAGGTGCTCCTGAAGGCGCACAGTGTCGTGATCATCTCACTTAGGACTGAAGAGGGAGCAAGTAGATCATCCCTATTTACCCAATTTTAGGCAAAGGCTTATTTTGTTCCTTGCGTTCCTATTGTGCCATTTTGATATATGGGCAATAATTAGAGGTTAATTAAGAATAACTTTTACAGCGCCTATAAGTGCCTAAGTGCCTACTTCTGGCATTCAAGCCTCAATACCTGTAAGTGTATATAAATGCCAATTTTCAAAATCGGTGCTTATACGAGCAGTTTCTACCCACAAATGTTGCTTTCGAGGGCAGTTTGAGAGTGCTATCTAAGTTACGGGCAGAAATTGACCTTCTAGACCACTATAGAGTGTAACCAAGTTCTCTCGTTCAACAAGCTTCCGCAAAACGAGTGCTAGCAGCAGTTAAATGGAACGCACAAAAAAAGGAACAGTAGGCGCCTCTGTGCAGCAGCAGATTGACGGAGAATGAATGCTGCCCCATGGAGGGCTGCCAGGGGAAGTGTAGTGTAGGTTGAAAAAAAAATCAAGTGTGCACGTGGCCAGTTGTTTTATTGTAATTTACTTATTAGAGGGTGCTTCACCAGGTCACACGAGGAACTCTTTTAACACTCAAAGCCGCTGCGTGCGCAATGAAAGGCTCTGTACCACAATATATATTTTTTAATTCGTTCAATATACGAGCCGTGAAAGCATGATGCGAGAAAGCGAGCTTGAAACATTTACCACTCGCCCCGTGCAGATTTTGCAAGCTAATATGCCTTCCCTGCTCTTTTTGATATCGGAGCAACTTAGAGCCGGAAGATTACATGACGCAGCTAGACGCATCAACGTGCCGTGCTCACGCAAGGCAACGTGCACATGACATGCCCAAGCCAGGTCGTGCACACAGTGTTGTGCCGTTTCCGCGATCAGTGTAGTGTACTGCTCATTTCTGTGGCGTGAATCCCTCTATACGCGCACGTTCGGAGAGGCTGGCATGGGTGATACGCTGCGTGGTTGGTACAATAAGCATGATACGCTGTGTCGCACCGCTGGAAGTTCTGTAAGGGACAACGCAGCGAAAACACGCCCCAAGATATCAGGACTGACGTCGGCATGACGCGGAAATGGTGAGAATATGAACAGTACTAAAATTGATTCCGCTGAGTTTCGCATGACATTCGATTCGAAGTTTAAAAAATCAGTAACAACGCACGTGAATTCAGTATGCATGTTTCACCATTGTTCATTGTTTCACTGTTCTATTCAAGCAACAGATTGCACAAATTACACGTCACCTACAAAAACTTGGACCATCTCCCTGAAAGGAACCCTGATGGGATGCGAAGCAGCAATGTTGTGCACCGGTGGCATCACGGATTGAACGGCGCTCACGCTGGTGCTGCGGTGAGCGCTGGAAGATTCGTTTGAAGTGATAGAGCCGGCTTAGGTCTTGTATACGTGACCCGTACAGACATGTTTACACGTAAAAGCTGGCGGTGTAGCGAGTGGTCATCGCCACGAGTGTTGCTGGTGAATGAACGAAGCGGCCGCTGCGGGCGCCGCGGCGAGCTCCTGGCAGGCGAGGGAGAGAGATACGTCAGCTTGCACTGTCAGGGGAGTATGACGTCAACGCGCAGCAGTGGCGTGACCTGCTTGGCACCGCGCCAACATCTGCGGCGCGTGGCGCGTTAGTACGGAGGAAAAGCGTTACACAGGCCAGTCAAAGAGATGTGTCACATCTAATAATTCTCGCACTGTCACGTACTGAAGTGACGCACGCAGGGCGATTTCCTAGAGCACGTCACCTCCTCCATGTTGAGACACGCGCCCACGAGACCAAAGACAATACGCGTTCAGTGTAACATTTAACCTCTTTCTGTAGTGCGTAGCGTCGCAAATCTTGGCAGACGAGATCGTGAGCGCCCAACAATTTTATTACCCCTGCCTGCTTGAAATGCTCAATATCGATAAGATGAAGTCCATCAAAGTTTTCACAAACAGAGAAGAAATTGACTCTGCACGATTATACCCGGTCAATAAATAGTTAAAATATTCCTCTGGCCTTTGAGTGGTGCTGGACGATGTTGTACAATTAACATAGACCAGGTTCTGCGCAGAAAAAAGGACAATTGCATGGTTATGTTAAACCACTGGCACCTTTAGGTCCTCATGAACCACATATATATATGTGGTTCATGAGGACCTAAAGCAATATATATATATATATATATATATATATATATATATATATATATATATATATATATATATATATATATATATATTGAAATACAACGGTGCAGCTGACGCTTTATTGAAGCAACAGCAAGATGGCACCGATCATGAAGAGGAACGGGCCGAAAACTGATGATGGTTATTGATAGATGAGGAAGATGACGTACAATGAATTCTCACACTAATTTCCCCCGTCGACGGAAGCGGCCAGCCTGGCCGCGAATTACGCTGTGGAACGCATACAATAGGGCTTGAGACGCGAAACGTGCACAATCTCTGTCCCGCGGCAGCGTTGGTCAGTGGGGACATGAACAGGTGTGACACGGTAGTTCACGGGTGAGGTCTGTTCGATAACTTTGTAAGGGCCAAGATAGCGTGACTCAAACTTTTCGCATAAGCCAGGTGTTCGCGCAGGAGTCCACAGAAGTACATTGTCGCCAGGGCGGTAGAGAACGACGCGGTGAGTGGCATCGTAACGATGTTTGCGATCTTCTTGGCTAGCTTCGGTGTTTACGCGGGCAAGACGACGGCATCGAGCAACGCGGGACAGAAACTGGTCGCAAACGAATGGTGAAGAATTGACGGGGCCAGAAAAGAATGAAACGTCGAGTGGTGATGTCGGTTGGCGTCCGTATACTAGGAAAAATGGAGAATAGCCTGTGGTTCGTTGAACTGACGTATTATATGCATACGTGACAAAGGGTAGTATGGCATCCCAATTGCGATGGTCCGGTCGGATATACATGGACAGCATGTCACACAGCGTGCGATGAAATCTTTCCGTTAAGCCATTGGTTTGCGGGTGATAGCTAGATGTTGTTTTATGAACTGTTTTTGATGCTTGAAGAACTTCCTGAGCGTGCTTGAAAGAAATGCCTTTCCCCGGTCGCTCAAAAGGACACGAGGGGCTCCATGACGTAGATAAATAGCATTCAAGAAGAAAGTTGCTACTTCCGAAGCACTTCCTGAAGCGATTGAGGCCGTCTCAGCGTACCGGGTCAAGTGATCAACCGCGGTGACGATCCACCTCTTGCCGTCTGATGTAGTTGGGAGGGGCCCGAAGAGGTCAATTCCGACGACAGAGAACGGCTCTGATGGACAAGGAAGTGGTTGTAGGGTCGCGACTGGAGCAGTAGTGGGCCGCTTGCGGTGTTGGCAAAGTGCGCACGAGGCAATATATTTAGCTACTGTCGTGGAAAGACCTGGCCAGGAAAATCGACTGCGGATGCGCTCGCATGTTTTGTAGTAACCCAAGTGTCCTGACGTCGGGTCGTCGTGAGAAGCGCGCAGAACTTCAGTGCGTAGTGCGCGCGGTACGACGGGAACCCATCGGTGGCCTTCCGGGTGCAAAATGTATCGATATAGCGCATCGTCCTCCAATTTGAATAGTCGGAGTTGTTTCCGGAGCCTGGCATTAGGGGAAGACGAAGCACCGGTAAGCCGACCAATGATGTTAGTGCAATAAGAATCGGCTCGCTGGTGAGTAGCAAGTGCTGACGGACGGGTGGATGAAGGTAGGGAAGAAATGGATGATATCGACGAGGCGTCCTCCGTATAGCCAATTTGACAAGGGGATGTGACGTGCACCGAAAACTGCGGCAAAGGGCATCGTCACAAAGCGTCGGCATCTTGATGTTGTCTTCCAGTCTTGTAGATGACGTCAAAGTCATAAGATTGTAATCGGAGAATCCAGCGGCCAAGTCATCCCGACAAGTTTTTGATTGTGGACAACCAGCAAAGAGCATGGTGGTCTGTCACAACAGTAAAATGTCGACCATGTAGGTACGGACGAAATTTTTGGATGGACCAGACAACAGCCAAGCACTCTTGTTCGGTTATCGAGTACCTCTTCTCTGCAGTGGTCAGAGTGCGGCTTGCATACGCGACAACTTTCTCGCGAAAGGCATGGTCGCGCTGGAGCAGTACGGCGCCGATTCCTTGTCCACTCGCGTCAGTGTGTAATATCGTAGGTGCCTTGTCATCGAAATAACAAAGCACCGGTGGGGATGTCAGTGCCTGCTTGAGTTCTTGAAATGAGGCTTCGCATTGATCCTTCCAATTGAAGGAACCGGTACTAGCAAGGAGCTTGTGGAGAGGAGCGGCAATAGTGGCAAAGTTGCGAATGAAGCGGCGAAAGTACGATGCGAGTCCAAGGAAACTGCGTAGTTCTTTGGAACGAAAGGGTCGCGGAAAGTTGAGGACTGCGGAAATTTTGTCCGGATCGGGCTGGATGCCATCTTTAGTAACGAGATGTCCTAGAACTTTTATAGCTGTGTTGCCAAAATGGCACTTCCTTGTGTTTAGATGAAGTCCAGCGTTGGAGAGACATGTGAGCACTTGATCTAGGCGTTGCAGATGATCATCAAAAGTGGAAGAAAACACGACGATATCATCGAGGTAGCATAGACAAGTTTTCCACTTGAGGCCACGAAGAACAGTGTCGATCATCCTTTCAAATGTGGCGGGAGCATTACATAGACCGAATGGCATTACGTTAAACTCGTAAAGACCGTCCGGCGTAGAAAAGGCGGTCTTTTCTTTGTCTGCTTCGTCCATTGGTATTTGCCAATACCCGGACCGAAGGTCAAGGGTGGAGAAGTATTGGGCGCCTTGCAATGAGTCAAGTGCATCATCTATACGGGGCATCGGATA